TGCCCGCCCCCGCTCCCCCCACCCCCACCCGACAGAGCGAACCACTGAGTTTGCCCTTGCCTGAGGCGAAACCCAAGGTCTGATCTAACACCTGGGGGGTGGGAAGAGGCCAGGGTGGCCCCAGGCCCCATTCCAGGCCCAGCAGCTGCCCCCAGCCTCAGCCCCACGGGAAGCTCCTTGGACCCAGCCCGGCACGATTCAAGATCCAGCCCCGATACAAGCAAGACGCCTGGAGCACAGAGCCGCCCCTCTGCTCCCCGACTCCAACCTGGGCGATAGGGGGGCACGGCCAGGCCGGGAGAAGAGGGGACCCTCACACCCACAGAGCTGGCTGGTGGGGGGGCAGCTGTGACCCCCACCCCCACCCCAGGCTGCACCCAGAGCAGGGACACAGACAAGGTGAAACTGACCACAGAAATGGGCAAGGCCACCCCACCTCTGCAGACTGGGAAGAGGGGGGCTGGATCCGGGGAAGGGGGGGGGGACAGATTCTGATGGGAACAGCCTGGAGCGACGCCAGGAGCCAATCACCACATACGATAAATAACCAGGACCAGAAGCTGCTGCTTAGTCACCGCCTTAATCACCGGGTAATTAATCACCAGGAGCAGGGGCAGGGATGTGGGATTGGGGGAGGGGGCGACAGAGAAGGGGAGGGGTCTCTGCTCTTGGCTGGGATCAGGACTCAGCCGCGGGGGTCACGCCCCAGTCTCAGGGCCGCCACACCGGACTGACCCGGAGCCAGGGGAGGGGATCGGGCCCCTCGCCCACCGGCCCCCGCCCAACACCGGGGGAGGAGCCCCCAGCCCCCCATGGAAAGGGTTTGCCCGAGCCTGGGGCGACGGCAGCATTGGAGCCTGGGCACACAGAGGCTGGGGCCTGAACGCGCCACGTGCACACTGCTCCCTCGTGCACAAGCACCCGCTCGCACCAGCACGGCAGCTGCCCCTCTCCCACAGAGGCCCATGGCCGTCCCGTGCACACCGCTCCCTCGTGCACCAGCACACGCTCGCACCAGCACGGCATCTGCCCCTCTTCCACAGAGGCCCGTGGCCGTCCCATGCACACTGCTCCCTTGTGCACCAGCACACGCTCGCACCAGCACGGCAGCTGCCCCCTCCACAGAGGCCCGTGGCCGTCCCGTGCACAAACCCCCAGGCACGGGCCCTGGCACACAGACGGGCGAGCTCCCATTTCCTGGCAGCCCCAGCCACGCTCACCCTCGCCAAGTCCTCCCCTCGGCACTGCACGCGCCCAGCTCTGGTGCCCTGGTGCACAGACTCGCTCTCGCCCATGACTGGCCGGGACACCGGGCCCCAGTGGCAAGAGGTGGCAGGGGTGTGCCCGGGGCTCCTGCAGCCAGCAGCTCGGGGTGGCCACCAGCGCTCCTGCCCCGTCCCCCACAGCGCCCCCTGCTGGGAGACCCCCCTGGCAGCGCTCCTGCCCCATCCCCCACAGCGCCCCCTGCTGGGAGACCCCGCCCCGGCCAGCGCCCCCGCCCCCCCCCCCCCCGCGCCCCCCGCTGGGAGCCCCCCCCCCGGCCAGCGCTCCTGCTGCTCCCACAGGGAAGAGAAGCCAAGGAAGCAGGAGAGCTCACGAGAGGAGACAGAGACGGAGCCGGTAAAAATAAACTGGAATTCACTCCAAATAACTCGGCAGCAACATGCCCAAAAAAGGACAGGGCCAGAGAGATCCCATGAGCGTCTGTGCTGGCCCAGGGCACCAGGGCGGCCACCTCGGGGGTCCCAGGGGCTGGGCACGGAGCCACCCTGCACCTTCCCTACGCCCGCCCCCAGCACGCAACCCCCTCACCCCTAACTCCCCACTGGGAACGCACCAATGCTGCCTCGGTTTCCCCAGCGCCACACCCTGCTGCCATCCCCACTCAGCTCCCACGCTAAGCCCCACAAGGGATCCCATTGTCCAGACGGGCTGCCCCTGCCTGGCACGTCCGTTGGAGAAGGGAAGGGAGAGCCTCCCTCCCCTCCCCATCGATCCACAGCCCAGGGCAGCCGGACCTCGGGCCCCTGCGTCTCATGGAGATTTCGTTTCCTTTGGCATCACTGCTGATCCCAACACGAGACATGCCAGGCGCATCCCCCTGGGCTGGTGCCACAGGCCGGCTCTGCGCCGGCGTCAGTCAAGACAAAGAACCCCAGAGTCACACCCGGCTAACGCCCTCAGGCGGGGGAATCGGGGCCCAGGACTGGGCAGGATCTTTCCTTCTCCCTCTGGCCTGGGTGGCAGGACACCTGGGTTCTATTCCCAGTTCTGCCACTGACCCGCTGAGTGACCTTGGCTGAGCCCCAGCCCCTCTGTGTGACTCAGTTTCCCCTCCTGCCTCTTGGCTGCCTTATCTAGTTAGACTGTGAGCTTCTCAGAGCACAGATGGTCTCCAACTCTGCTGGTGCAGCGCCTGGCCCGACGGGGCCCCGATCTCAGGTGGGGCCCCTGGGCCCTGCGGCCATATAAGCCGTACCCCTGTGTTTGCACCCGGCTCCCAGACCAGCGAGCAGCAGGTCGTGCTCCCTTCGCGCCGCGGAAGTGACAGTGCAAGGCGCAGGGCTCGGGGACTCGGCCGGACACAGAGCTGACACTGAGCGTTCCCAAAGGGCTAAGAAACGAGCCAGGTGGACCCCAGAAATACCCCAGTGCCAGGGATGGGACGGACCCGACTCCCAGTCCAAAGCCCTCGGCGCCGAGCCTCCCCCCTCGGCAGCGCGCGGTGGCCCGGCAGGTATTTGCACTAATCCTGCGCTTTGTCCGTGGCGTCGCAATGCAAGAGCGGCGAGAGCAAATCCCCCCGCGGGGAGGAATTCCGGGAACGTTTGACGGGCTTCAGCCTGGAGAACGAGGAACATGATCAAAGCTCCCCCCGGCCCCAGTAAACAGACAGACGCACGTAAGGACCCTTCCTGCGCCAACCAGGGCATGAGATCCGAGCTCCCCAGCACCTGTTCATTACCCAGACTGACCGGCCTGCGACCCACCCGGCTGGCATTTGACCAGCTCAGCCCAAAGGGATTTGGTTTTACGAGAGTTTTTATCTTCTCCGGGCAGCGACCTCCCCTCCAGAGACACCCAGGGACAGATCGGATCGAAGTGCATGGTGCCAGCGAGGGCACTGCTCTGAGGACGCTCACAGCAGCCAGGCACTGCCGGGGCTCCGAGTGGGGCTCCGCTGCCAGGGGCCCAGCCCCGGGAGCTACCCCAGGAGCTCACGCTGCCAGCGCCCACCGGCAGCTCTGCGGAGAAGCCAGCCGCTGCCCCCGAATCCAAATCAGAGTTGGCAGAACCCGTGACAGGCTGGGAGCCAACAAAGATGGGGCCGGGGGCGTGATAAGGGGCAGCACGTTCCCCTGGTTGCCGTGTGCGCCCACGCCAGCCCTGCGTCACCACCAACAGGGGGCACTAGCACCACCAGCCATGACTCACCCGGCTTCGAGCAGCTGCCAGGAACCCCCAGTCCCCACCCCGATGTCTCAAGGGGGGGACCCTGAAGAGCCCCTGGGGAGCATTATCAGACTACAAGCCTCACCCCCCTTTCTCACCCCAGGTTTTGCTGTTGCTCTGTGCACTCGATGCGCCCCACCCCAGAGGTGGCACCATCCCAGGGACGAAGCGCAGGGCGAGTTTGCAAAGGGGCTAGAGAAGCACCATATTCCCACCCCCGTGGAGCAGATGTGGGGCCGATGCTGCTGCTGCTGCTGGGGCAGACCCGGGGGGTTCTCAGCCTCCCACCCCCACGGATCAGAACTATCGATTTCCTCTCCCGGCTCAGGCTCCGATCCCTGCTGAATCATTTACCAGGGAGGGGGGAACCCAGGGATTGGGCTCAGGGCAGCTCGCAGAGTCTGGGCCCCTCACCTAAATGGCCCATTAATGATTCTGAGCAGGGCCCACAGCTCCATTCATATTCATGAGGGCTTCGTTTAACCCTTCGCAGGCTCCCTCGGCAGCAGGGCACACACTGGCCCAGCTGGGAGCCGCCCGCGTCCCTTGCCCCAGAGGGCTCTGTCCCTGCACCCAGCGAGAGCCCAGCAGGACACCGCCAGGCTGAGGATCGCAAAGCGCTGACATGGCCACTGTCCATCGCTCCTGCATCACCAGCAACACCACGGCCCTGTCGCCCCGCACGCTGCCAGCCCCGGCGCACGGCCGCCGACCTCGCTACACGTACAGACCAGGGAGCCCCGCTCCCACCTCTGCCACAGGGTGACCTTGGCCAAGTCCTTTCCTGCCCGGTGCCTCAGTTTCCCCATCTGCACAATGGGGATAATGACACTGTAAAGTGCAGGGGGGGATTATTACACAGCCCAGCCCAGCTCTGCCCCCCCTCCGACACGTTCTCCCACCAGCAGGTCTGCGCCCCCCTGAAGGGGGGGGGGGAAGAGGAAGGAACTGCTGTGGTACAAGCTCCCCAGACTGTGCTCCCTCCCACAGCCCCTGGGGACCTGGGCATCTGCTCCAGCATGGGGGGCACCCGGCTTGCTCCAGACAGTGCCCCTCCTCTGCCCCCCCGGGGCACCAGCAGGGCAGGATGCCTGGCAAGGAGTATCCCCAGCCCAGGCTGGGCAGATCTGCACCCTGGCTCTGGCCAGCCCCAGCCCCATGGGGTCTGTGTACTAGTCAGAGACACCTCCAGGTGCGCCCTGGCTGGGCAGCCCCCACCCCCCTGGAGGGGATAGAGCTGCCCCCTTACCTGACCTGACAGGTGCCGCCCAAGGTCACCCAGGGAGTCAGGAAAAGAACCCAGGAGTCCGGGCTCCCGCTCACCACTAACAACACTTAGCTCTTAGGGGTGACTCCGGATTGACCCTACGGGAACTGAGATCCGAATCCGGCCTGATTCCACTGCGGTGGGGGGTGACTCCGGACTGACTCTGCCCCCGACACCGGGGCCAGTCTGGGTTTCCCACTGGAGGCTGGATCTGGCCCGGGGACCCCACGAGTGGATCGGAGAGAATACAGGGAGCGACC